ATTATTATTATTGTATTTGCAAATTTTGGACATTCTCCAAATCCACCAGAAAACTCTTTTTTTTGTAGCATAAGGCAAATTGTTGTACGTCCAAAAATTAGAGTTTTGCACACATATTGGATTTGATAGATTTTAAAGCACTGAAATATAATGTAAAAACGTACAAATAACTTTACTGACTGTGAAGAAAAGCCTACCACTGCCAGATCAAGGATGTGGTTTTTATTTAATTTTAGTCTGCGGTGAGAGAGACGTTTGTCTTCAAGTGTTGCATTGATCCAAACACAAACATAGAATTATATAGTTATTTTTTTCTAATTGTTTCTTATGTGTTTGCACTTGAAAATAATAAAAACACAATATAAATCATAGTTTTTGTCTTTGAATATATTAAAAAATGAGTAGGGAGTTTGAGAGCCATGTACATTTTTGGGGCTCCATGTAAATTTATTTAGTAGGAATGTTTAATAYGGCTCATCTTTTAAAGATAAAGTTCACAAAGCATTATTTAAACCATAAACAGAAGTGCAGCTCATGCACTAAAAATTCAACTTCAGCTGCAAACGTTACGGCTTTTGTCTTGTTTTTTTCCCACCTAAATGCATTTTTTTATGTCCCATTTTATATTTGTGATTGCTAACGCTCAATCGAATGATAGATTACGAGATGTTTAGCAGCGGGTCACAGTGAAGGCGGTGTAGATAGGGTGACGTTCCACAACAGAAAACCATTTGCCACAAAAACCACCAGCATCGAGCTGCAGCTCGTAGATTCGAGTTCTGCGGAGACGTTTTCTAATCCACGACCCGATGTGTTCCACCTTCTGTCACTCCCGGGGTCAAACAAACCGCRAGGCAAAGGAACAGCTCCACTGAGATGGAGGGAAAGGGAGAAAACTAAAAAAAAAAAGAAGAAGAAAACAGAGCTTTTGTTGTTGGGAGGAATCTGCTGGAAGGAGCATGTGTTGCAAAAACATCTAAAGAAAATCAGGGGAAGTGGAAAGTTAAGAATCTTTTTTTAGTGTGGTGGAGAAAAAACAAAGTGTTGTTTCTGGAGGCTGAGGTTCATTAAAACTGTGTATTTTATATATTTAGCCAACTCTAGTTATAGTGCCCTCAATCATGCTTTTTTTTTTTTAGAAATGAGGTCACAACCTAAAAATAAAGCAACAAGTCCCCGCCTAGAAATTGTAAATGCATCGACATCAGTCTCACACTTCACCTGCAGCTTCTCCTTCATTATGCATTTCTCTTTTCAGAATTTCACACTTCTCTCCTGATGTGAAAAGGTGCTTCGTACGTCACTTTATGAGCTGAGGTTAAACATTTTGAGTTGAGCTGTTGCACTTTCCAGCATGGTTAGGCCTGCTGGTAATTATTACACCGCTGCTAATTTGCACCTTTTAGCCCCTTTTTTTTAATGTCCAAACATATATTCTCGTGCAACTTTTACATTTAAAGATGAACATTTTTGAACTATTTTTTATTTTATTAACTTCTAAGAATACGTTTTAGAGGAATGAGCTAACGCAAGAGAAAAACATTAGTTAATAACTTTGTGTGCACCTTGCAAAACGGTGCCCGGTGTAGAAAGACCGGGAGGACAAACCCTGTGCTTCTTCTCACAGAGAACAGGAAAGGAGTCATGCTGCTCTTCGGCTACAGGAAATAACCTCGCTGCTGGTGACGCAGGTCTCATGGGAAAGCTCTGCAAACTCAGTGCATGAGCAGTGGGGTTGTGCAACATGTTGCAGACAAACGCAGTCACACTGTGTGCCCTACTGTACATCAGAACTATACGATAAACGAATGGTAATTACAGTATCTCCCCCATYGCTGTTTCCCCCCTTCAGCTTTACGCGCTTGCACACAAACCAGATGAAAAGACATAAATCTGTAAAGCTGTCACTTGATGATAAGCCTTTGCAGCGAGAYCCCCCCCCCTTAAGCAACATGTCCAGCGGCCTGCCCAATTAGAACCGAGAGTATCTGTGAGCAGTGGAGTCTGCGGCTGCACATGGAAAAAGGGGGGATTTGGCCGTGAGCGTTCATTCATTGGGCCGTCTGGTGAGGAGACAATGGTGAAGAGTGGAGATTGGATGACTTGTTTCCAGAGAAAAGACAGGAATAATGCCAGTTTAAACCCCCCTTAGAGATGGATTTATTGGGGGACTGTTGGCGTTGGAAATATCCRGTTGGAGCTGCAGGCAAGGCCACAATGATGCAAACCCTGCATGGCCCATATTTTACCTGTCCTCTTTGCCCTCAAGCAGAGCTGCTGCGCTCATTCATCCTTTGTATGAGGCATAACGTGGGGGAGCGTTCTCCTGTTCCCTCAACAACAACCGTTATCTCATTTCTGAGGCAGAAGTCTGTGGGCTTTATGCATTCGATGTTTGAGGTGTGGAGTGTAGTTATGGTTCTAAAACATGGGGTTCGGAGATGTTTATTATTTAAAGACTTTCTATTTAAATTCACCTGCAATACAATAAAAAATATATTTGATCTATTCAAAATGCTTCTGATGATTTCTTCAATTTTTGCCTCTCCCCGTTGGGAAATTCAGAATGTTAAAATGTCATTTTCAGAATGATCTTACTTTTTATTTCAAAAGCTCACAGCAATCAAGCCATGTCTTATATTCAAGATTTTGTTCCTTACAGAGCATTTTGCTCTATATTTGCTCTACTCCCCATGTTTGGAAATGCAATTATTGCTACCATGAACCTGATTATCCTTTCTTTTCTTGTCGTTGAAACTACTGCATGCTTGGACCAGTACCTTCTGTGTTCCTCGTGTTCCTGTCCTTCCAAACCCCAGCCGGCTGAGACAGATGGTCTTGGTTCTGGTGGAGTTTCCTCCTGATAAATGGGAGACATTCCTTCCCCGTCACCAATGTGCTCCTCGGAAGATTTGATCTAATCTGCTGGATTCCTTAGAAAGATAACTTTTAATTTCATAATGTACTATACGTAAATACAGAAGAGCACTGCATTCACTAAATACAAATGAATTGGACTCCTGATCCTGATATACGTATAAGAAATTATAATTATGAGATAGGATCTCATAATTACAGGAAAGAATGTCATAATTATGAAATACTTATCTCCTAATTATGAGAAAAGTAAAGCTGACTTATGCTAAAGTGGACAGTGACTGTGCTATCTGAGTTCATGTGTGACATGAAGCACTAGGAAATCTTGAGTTTACTTAATGTGGATGGCAYTRATATTAGTATGACATTGTGCAAGTATCTTAAGTTCATGGGGTTGTTCAGGTGAAAAGCCCCCTCTGACCTGCTGGAAGTCACTTCTGCAGCAGCAAATTAACCAGTACGGTATGCTTCATGGCTAACTAAGTACAAATACTTCTTTACTCTACTTAAGTAGAATTTTTGGGCATCTGTACTTTACTTGAGTAATTATTTTTCAGCCCACTTTTTACTTTTACTTCTTTCTTACATTTTCACACAATTATCTGTACTTTCTACTTCTTACATTTAAAAAAAAAGGCAAGAAGTAGGAAGTTGTTACTTTTATTTCATTTTCATGTGTTTTCACTCCAGCTTGTTATTGTAAAAAATAAATACTATCCATATAAATTGTGCCTCCTAGATAGAGTGAATTTAACTGTGGTTGAATGAGAAGTATAAATATATAAAATTCTGATACTTTATTAGTTTGTACACAAATGCTCCACTCCAGCAGGACATAATCATTCAAATAAAACGACTGTACTTAAGAAGTATTTGTACTTCATGAATTATATTATTACATTTGGCTGCAGCCCTTGTATAGAATTTCATTTTGGAGAAAAGGTTTGTGCAGCCTTGATATATGTATATAAACTGAAACAGCTAGACTTGTGCTATCCTAAATTTAACATCAGTTAAACATTATTAAATACGATAGTCATTTCTGCATTTTTTGGGGAGGCCACCTCCTAATAAATGTCCTTACAGAAAATCTATCTGCTCATTTTAAATCAATACATTTACATTTA